CTGATATCTTCTGCCTCTCCTCTTTTGACTTAAACCAATTCCTAAATGAAATATAAATACAGCTATTGTAAATCAATAGATAAGATAAATAAAATAATAAAAAGAACTTAGACTCAACAATCTCATCCTCAAAATAATATTAAAAACAACCTCATTTCCAAAACATTAACCCAAAACCATACCCATTAAAACAATCCCCTCCATAAAAAATTACATAATTAATACTCCCAAAACACCTTAAAATCACCCTTAAAAAATACAAAAAATCCACCACATCATCACCTGAGAAATTCCAAGAACTTCATAGAAATTTTCCCGACTTCCTCCACCAAATCGAAAAGTTCCATCTCCTCTGAGTCCCAGCAGTGGCCAGGCAGTGCCCAGCCACCACCAAAACCAGTGCCAGTATGTCAGGAGCCGTGCCATTCTCCCTCTCTCTAGCAAGTAACAGCTGACAGGAGGCGAGAAAAACAGCTGTATTCGCCTCTGGTCCTCCTGGCCGACGTCGTCCAAGGAAGAGTATGAAGTGTTGTACGGTTGTGCTGTTATCGTGCAGCGAAAAGGGATTTGTCAGTTCTTTGCTTTTCTGTCCGTTTATGTATTTTTTTTAATTCTGCTTTGTTCAGTGGAGGTAGTTTCCTTTAACAAAACATATCCTACCGTCATCCATAAACTGTGCCTGCTGCCTCGCTTGAGTTGTGAATTATCTCTCTCTGTTTACACCTGTACTCTTGCTCGTTCTTGATTGTGTATTTCTCTTAACTATTATTACATTTTATCCTTCCTCTCTATCTCCTCTCTTATTACTATCTTATATTATATTTCTTCTATATACCTTACCTTATCATCATCTTACTTCATATACCCCACTATATCCCTCTTACTCTACTGTTACACCTCCCTATATCCTCTCTTATACTATACCATATTTCCCCCTACTACTATTCACTATCATATCACCTCTCTATTATGGTTACCCCCCCATAGTACTCTTGCTGTTGTGTAGCTGTGTTTGCGTCTTGCTTGTCTCGTCCTGCGTGCTGTGTGCTGTGCTCGTCTGACTCTAGCTTTGCCCTGTGCTGCGCTTGCTGCGCACTTCTCCTCCCCGTGTCGCGTGCCACGTCCGAAGCACGTTCTGCATGACATGAGAGATGATGTGAGAGGTAGATGTCTCGATGTAAAGTAGCACATAGTAGTAGTGGAGTGTGGTCGCTGATCTGTGAAGTGTGGTGTGTGCGCGTGTGTGTGGTATGTGTGTGGTGCTGCGTCGTAGTAATGTGTGCTGCGTGGCCCCTGTGCGTGTGTGGTGTGTTATTTACCTTTATCTCTCCAGGAGTATACCATCGAGATAACCCCCACGCACCTGAGCACATCACACATATATTATATATACATATATTATAATATATATATAATGTATAATTATATCGTTATGATCTGTATGCTATACATTCATCGTCGCTTACAAGTAGTACTATTTATCACAAGTAACATATATAATCAAAACGTTCATAAGTAAAGGATTTGGTAGAATTTTGTGTTATGCCGGTAGGTCATATATATATAGTACTATATATATATATATATATGTATATGCATGTGTTGTGTGTGTGTGTATATTATATTATTAAATATATAATATATATATTAATATATATGATATATAAATATAGAGGGAGTATGGTTGGAGTATACGGGTGAGAGGATGATTTATGGGTGTATGTATGGTATTATAATAATATATAGACGGTACTGATATATATATCTAGTAGATAAGTAAGGCTATATAGTCAATTAGAGTATATATGTATGTAAGTAGAGGGGGTTATGCTAGGTACGCTAAACTTGATTGATGTATTGTATTCTGCATATATACATACCAATACAAAGTATATATACCACACCACACATCTCGATGACAGCGAAGTACATATAGTATACATACACCTCGACAGACACAGCGAACGACACACACACAGACATATATAGTAATATAGACATGTCATAGATATATACATATAAAAGTGATATTTACGCTACAATAGTATAATATGCTAAAAATATATATACTAATAATGATATGGCACATAAAAGTATGGTTATATATATGCATGGAAAAAAATAATATATAAAGGAAGAATATATAAATATAAATATATATTATATATATATTATAATATGATAATATATTATATAACTAATTACAGCATTAGAATGCCAGTTGTAATATGTATGTGTGCTGTTGCCTTAGCGCGAGAAGTTATGCTTCTTTGTCCAGGACTTTGCGTAGGGTCAACAGCACAACTCGTGAGATTTCTGAGCTCTGTTCCCAGCGCTCTGGCCCTCATCATTGGACTGCTGCCAGCATACAGGAAAGCAGCCATAAGACACTCAACATTCTTATTGAGCGGTTGTCTCTCTACGAGCGAGGCCAATGTTTCAGGCAGTTATCGGGATGTGTTGGGGGAGGTCATATTGTAGTCGTGGTGCTACCTTCCGTAGCTTTCACTTCACAAACTTGCCGTCGGTAATCCCAGATGTTCACTCGCTACGTGAATTGGAGTCGTGTCCCCTGGTAAGCAAAGACTCTAGTTCACTTGTCGTGCAGAAAGGGACAATGACAAAGCATAGGTGATTATCGAGGGAGTTCATGAGAGATGAAAGCCGTAGCATCATATTTCTTAAGAATTCATAACCTAGTCCAGTACTACGCACAGAGGCGTCCTGAGAACGAATAATAATCACACGCACCTCTCTCGTGTACCAAGCGACTGCAGTTCTGAGACCTCGACAATATGTATACCAAACCGCACGAGTATAAACATGCACATGCCACCGCTTTACCATCCATGGTCTCGAGCTGTGTGATTCATGATAAATCACTGCAAGAGGGTGATTAAAAAAAAATGCATAGGTGAGGTGAAGACGAGTTGTCGGCGGCTACTGTTATAACCCTAATGATGTTAACATTCTGGCAACTTTTCACAGTAGGCGCGGCTGTCTAGCAGTCGGTACGCTCGATCGGCTCGTGGGCTCACGGGTCAGATCATCTCAGATCCAGCCCTACTCAGATTAGTGGTTGATGCGGCGTAATCTAGAGATCCCTGAAAACAAGGTGGCTCGATCGTCTATAGAACTGAAGCAGCATTTGTGGTTAAACCAACGGCGTGCAGTGTTTGCGACGCATCCCAGCCTAACTCGTGTACGGGTGGTGGATGATCACTAAATGACTCTAGGGTTGTTGCGATTCGATGCTATGTGCCTGGGGGACGAACTTGGACGCGTTGCCGCGCCTGCACCGTTTGTAGTCGTCCTTCGTCGGATAAGAGATTAACCGTTTATTTATCAGCTTACTTGGTTTCGCATCCCTCTCTGGAAGCCGGGGAATAGTGCGGATTGATGGAATTCAGCACGATCTACCGAAGCCATCACAGCTGTCACGCTCAGTCCTCTAACCAGGCAAGGTTCTCGATTGCCGCCCTTATCAAATAAATCTGATCTGATTTTACGTTATCATGAAACCACTGCCCCAGACGCACCAGCAACACACACACGCACACACGCACACACACACACACACACAACACCAACACCACCACACCAACACTAAACAATATAATATACTTAATTTTAGGCTATTGCAATAACTAACATATCATTCTACTGTATATTATATATGTAGTGATTATCCGTAGGTATATGCATTAGAAATCGAACTCACATACCACACGACACACACCACATACACAACACACCACACAGACAGATACACATGCACACACACACACACAACCCACACAGGAGCACAACACACACCACACGAGCCAACATGCATATTTAGCTAGTAATCATTTCATTGCCTATAGGTATCTTTGTCTCCCCCCTTTGTTTAAATTTCGCTATATATATAGTTCTATTAGTTTAGATTAACTAAGCATAGTAGTATATGTATATATTCCCTATATGGTATAAATATTCATTATGTATGACTATCCTTAATGTATTACCGGATAATTGTATACATTAGAAATCAATAACATAACCCACAACACTTTGATACAGCAACAGAGGAAAGACCGATTGTATATTATATATTTATACTATATTATATAATATAATGTATGAAGAATACTAATAATACTCTAATATGCTAAGGAATCAATATAACTTCGCTGCTATAATCTACAGCTATATTACTTTTTTGTTGCTTAGTAGTATGTGTGTGATAGTATAACTGTGGCTGTGTGGTACAATACAGTGCCAAATATAAAGTCTAGCATACACACCCAGCACACACATCACACACAACCCCACACACACACCTCACTACACACTACAAAACGCCACCTCCGACGTGCTTTTTTAGCCTAATGTGAGGCGCTCCAGCTTCATAAGGTACTAGTCTAACATAGCCCTACCATATACACACACACACACAGCCGACCACCCATCCACTAACCACCCACACCCAGCACACCCACACCCCATACCCCACACACATATATATATATATATATATATATATATATATATATATTATAATATATAAATATATATATATATATATATATATATATACTGACTCTTTATTACTCGCGAAATATCCACAAAAGCCAATCCTTGTTATATCACACACCATATAATTCATTGGATATATGTATTATGATTTTTTTACGTTACAACATAATATGGTATAGTATAAACCCTCTCCAACTCTACAAAAAATTTCATATATCATACTCGAGGAGGTGTCCAATCTTTTTGATGATTGTTCAATTGAATAACATGTTATGATATTATCACCAATCTTTTTTTTTAAAATTTGAAAAGACCAAAATGATCGACCATATTCACGAAGCATCAACAACTTTTGTGAAATTAAAAACTCAATAAATCCAAAAAATCAAAAAAGCACGCCATGACACCTCGAGTTGCTACTGGCCTTTCCCGACTTTGAAATCGCAGTTGCCTTTTCAAAGTTCCCGCGCTGGTTCGTCCATACAGCGTGAGGACCGGCGTGTCTCTGGCCGAGCAGACATTCGGCCATGATGGCGAGTGACGGCGACATCTCTCAGGACATGGAGCTTCTGCTTAGGTTTTTCCCTCCCAGAATTTCCCTTGCAGCCTCTTGAGTGTAATGCTGTGAAGTAAGTTTATAATTAAAGATGCTTAACCAAAATGTGTTATAGACATTAGATCTTTCAGGTATTTATTTTGATTTTGTGTAGAACACGTGTAGCTAGTAGCAACGGGTGAAATTGTATTTTACGTTCTTTGAAGACCCTAAAGACATTTTACAAATATTTTCAATTGGCGGAATTCTATCAAAATGTAATCAACCAAAATTGTGGACTTGAGGATTTGTAATTGTTCTTTTGCCACGTGTGTTCTTTGCCGTGCACTGTTATCTGTTCAGTGAGCTGTTCAGGGCATGGCACATCCCGAACAGATCACATGGGCACTGGGCACTTGTGCTTCATGGTCTGGTAGAAGCAATGGGCACGTGGTCAGGTGACCTTTAAATCTCTTTATTTTTCAACAGGGAATTGCTTGAACCCAGAATAGACATAGTTCGATTTGTATTTTTTTTTGTCCTCCAGTCATGCTATCATTATTCCTTTCTTTCAACTATAACTCCCATTATGCTTGAATCTTGTTATTTTTAATTACAAATAATATTTCCACAAGTTAACATGAGCAAGGCATTGAGATGGGTTGGAATGGACACCGCCGGCTGATAGAGCACAGGAAATAGTCAAAAGCAACATAGGTACAACTGCAGTGGCCTCTTATTGACAAATATGAGGCCACTACAGCATTTGTCACAATATATTTTCTGAATTTCTGGCATTTTCTGCCAATGGAGATTATTTCACGTATGGGCAATCGTTACCCAACCTAACCTTTCCTACCTTTTATTTATTCCCTAGACAGGAGGGCAAACCCCCTGTAGCTCCCTTTATTATCACTTTGTGCCAACATAGAGAATAGAAATCGGACACCAAGAACTCATGGGTGTGTGAGGGTGTTGTGGACTTAGGTTAGTCTGAGTGGGGATATGTAGCGGACATTTTCGTCATTTAATGGTAAATATGAGGCTCCCGCTGCTGCAGGTTAGACTATATTTCGTATTTTCTTTTCCTCTATCTGTTGCTTTCTATAATCTTTACCCACAAATGTGTGATTTTTTTCTGATTATTATAGTGCAGTTACATTTTCCTGTGAATTGTATGCTGGCTTCAAGCTGATTCCTTGGTGACTAAGCACTTCTGGAGCATTCTGGATTCATTACACACCATTCAAAGGAAGAATTTCAGTGGACAATTCATGAACCCATATATAATATTCAGTAAGCATTAAACGACAAGAACATTTTTAGACTTGGAAAAATTTATTAATGCTTGGTTGATAATTGAAATTCATATGCGGAATTGGTAGGTTCACAAATAACTTGAAGCACGTTCCTTAGATCCACCTGATGGGGCTTTGCCCACCAACTTTACGGTTGGGTATCATCGGTGAATGAGTCATTGACGTGCGAGACAAGAGAGCACTCTTCTGTTTTGCCAACCTCCCCAGCACCATGCTAGTTCTTCTGGCTGGAAGTCATTTCTGACTGTTTGTGATTATGTTAGGGAGATCGGCAGGTGTTGGGGACATATTCAATGAAAAGAAATTCTAGTAATCCAATTTTGAATTTAAAACAAACCTTTAGTGTTGTGATTATATTAGGAAATAAAATATAAGATGTGATCCAGAATTCACAAACTTTGATTTGACAATAAATTGAAGTGCAAGATATTTAAACTTTTCTTCCCAGATGGCCTGGAAGCACAAGCAGTGAGTTAATGTTTGCGTGAACAACTTTAAATGGGTAATTAATACCTCTGTTTTATTGTTTTATTCTTCAATTTATCTAGTTATTTGAAAGTTTTTTTTCTATTAGAGTAATAGATATTAAACTACATAAATGTTTTTTAGGCCTAGGAAAATGGAAAATGCTCTTTCATTGATAAATGAAATTCATTTGCTGATTGGTAGAATAGCACAAAGAACTTGAAGCACGTTCCTTAGATCCACCTGATGGGGCTTTGCCCACCAATTTACCGGTTGGGTTTCATCGGTGAATGAGTCATTGACGTGTGCGAGACAAGAGCACCTCCTTCTGTTTGCCACACCTCCCTGAGCACACCATGCTAGTTCCTTCTGCTGGAAGTCATTTCTGACTGTTGTGATTATGTTAGGAGATCGGCAGGTGTGTGGGGACAATATTCAATGAAAGGAAATTCTAGTAATCCAATTTGGAATTTAAAACAAACCTTTAGTGTTGTGATTATATAGAGGCAATATAACATATGTTTGATAGCCTGTGATCAGTGTTCTCAAGTATGTGGATTTGACAAAAGATAGATTTGCAAGACATTTATATAGAATTTTCTATCTTCCCAGAATGGCCTGGACGCACACAGCAGTGAGCTATGTTTGCAGTGAACAGCTTTAAAGGGTAATTATACCTCTTTTATCTTTAGTTTATCTTGTTATTTAAACCTGTTTTATTCTTCAGTCTAATCTAATTATTGAAAAAGTTTCTTTATTAGAATAATAGGTATTAAACTACATGTGTTTTTTAGCCCTAGGAAAAGTAGAAAATGCTTTACATGATAACTGAAATTACAAAGGTGAATTGTAGGTTCACAAAAGAACTTAAAAGCACGTTCCTTAGATCCACCTGATGGGCTTTGCCCACAACTTTTACCGGTTGGGTATCATCGGTGAATGAGTCATTGACGTGCGAGACAAGAGCACCTCCTTCTGTTTGCCACACCTCCCTGAGCACACCAATGCTAGTTCCTTCTGGCTGGAAGTCATTTCTGACTGTTGTGATTATGTTAGGGAGATCGGCAGGTGTTGGGGACAATATTCAATGAAGGAAATTCTAGTAATCCAATTTTGAATTTAAAACAAACCTTTAGTGTTGTGATTATATTGAGAAATATAGTCATATGTTGATAAGAGTTGATCCAGTGTTCTCAGTACTTTGATTGACAATAAATTGAAGTGCAATACATTTACATATTTTTCACTTTCCCAGATGGCCTGGAAGCACAACAGTGAGCTATGTATAGAGTGAACAGCTTTAATGAGTAATTATACCCGTGTGTTTCTCTTCAGTTTATTTAGTTATTTGAAATGTATTTTATCATTTAGAATAATAGGTATTGAACTACAAACCAGGAGATAGGCAGTAGGCGCGACAATATTTTGATGCATATGAAATTTTGTAACATGATTCAAATGTCAAAAGTTGCAATTCATTAGCATGTATTTTTCTTATTTCAGGTGGCTTGAAAACGTCTGGCAGTGGACAGTGTAGAATGACAACACTATTTTTTGTGTATAACTCTATGAATTATGATTAAAAAAATATATTATGATTGTAAATGACAGAGGGTAGGTGTTAATTGAACTACAGTCATGGTATAGTGCATTAATGTAAATACATAGTGTGATCAAAGAATTAATAAAAGCAAAACTTTTGATAAATATTCATTATTTGTGCCGTTGTTCTGATAACACCTTTGGATGTGCAACTTCAATGGTCCAGCTATCATTTTTTTTCTAATTGAAATTTTGTATCCAATTTGAAATGCTTAAAAAATTTTGTAAAAAAATTGGCACCTTATGAAATTTATTATCACATTACTCAGTGCTACAGTTTATGAGATTTTATTCAAATTAAATTTCTTAATCCTCTCCTTGTCACATGGATTTTTTACCAGATAAACTATAACAACCATCTTCATCTCTTTTCAACTTTCTACTTTTAACCATTTGAGCGGAAACCAGGTTAGATGAAAATGGGCTCAAGTTATTTTCCTGAGAAATAATATTTCACCGAATAAACAGCTTTTTGCTGTTCAAATTCCCATTCCTTGCCTTTGTTTCCGTGGGAGACCTTAGTAAGCCGGAAGAACTAATGCTAGGGATCTCTCTACCCTTGGGCCTCAGCTCTTGACTCAACTAATTTTTGTCACGGTCTTTTTCCCCTCCTTTTCGCTTCCGTTCCTTCTCCAACCCCATTCCTTTCCTATAACCACTTTTACTATCCACTTCCTAAGGTGTGAGAATGTGATAGAAACGAATGAGAGGCTGACTTTGTGCCAGTCCTAATGGCCTGAAAGAAAGCCATGGGTTCACGGGTATTGACCCGTTTTAATTGTCTAGGCCATACCCTCTGGGAACCTGAGAGGTGACTGTTTCTCCCCAACATTTCTAAGGCTGCCATGCCATAAATTAAGAACATGTATACATCATAATCCATCGCTGAATCCCTTGCAGAGCGAGGGATTCTTTCTGATTGTAGTTTACCCTACCAAAGAGGAAATTATTTGTCTTAATCTATCCACCTATCTGTATTTCTTATTGATCTTATATAGCTTTCTATCTTCGTCTATCTGTCCGTCTTAATCTCTGATCGTGTAGTATTGAGTGCTGTTAACTAGTATATCTTATCAGACTATTCTGTAGTGGCTTAAACTATCTATTATCTACTACTACGCTTGCACTGTCGTATAGAGAGCTTAGGCAACGTAGAGTCTAATTCGATACACATTGCACATGCTCCATTTATCTATCTATTTAGCTTTACACATAAGGATGAGGATAATGGCTAAAGAGAAGTAAAGAAATAGAAGGGAAGTTAAATGGTGAAGTATGGGATATAGAGAATACCTAACTATTGAATTAGATAATATATTAAGCATTATTAACTAATATTAGAGAGGATTAATTGAGAACAGCAAGCGATGGAACGATGAGGACAAAAATCTGAAGTCTTAGAATAAATCTCACGGAACTTGATGAAAGATAACAGAAATAAGTAGGAATTATGACATTTTAGCGAAGAGAACATGAAAAAATATCTGGAAATCTGTCGATAGAGAGACGCAGAAGAGTAAGAGGGAGAGAGGGACAGAAGGAAAAAAGGGGAGAGAAGAAAGGAGAGGGGGAGAGAGACGGCAAGGACGAGGGGGGGAGAAAGAATCACAGTGGGATAGGATGATGCAAGGATAGAGGAAGGGGGGGAGAAAGACGACAGGAAGAGAAGACAGGGGGGAGAGAGCATGGAAGGACGCAGAAAGAAGAAAGGGGGGAGAAAGAACTGGACAGCAAGGGAAGAAAGACGCAGAGAAAGAGGACAGGAAGATGGAAAAACCGGAGAACGAGGGCATATTAGCGCAAGGAAAAAAATCGGAGACTCAGAAAGAAGCAAGGAAGAGGAGGAGTGAGAGTGAAACAGCCGTTAAAGTTGAACATAAATATGAATGTGGACGGAGTCTCTTTAATTTGATGTTTGATTATTTCGGTAATTCACATAATTGACGCAGGAGTGTGGGACGGGCTTTACGAGATGTTTTTGGTACAAATTAAAGCTGGATCTAAAATGATTTTATACCAGGGAGTTACAATTCCTGAGAATTTTATTGATTAGCAAGGGTTTCGGCCATGGAGTGTGACAAAATCATAATGATAATAAATATGTGAGACTACAGTTTGCGAAATTGAGCACAGATTCTGTCTATTTATCGCTATCTTATAGCAACACAACGCACACGCACGACACGAGTAGAAAAATGTAGTAGAAGGACGCAGGAGAGCACAGCGAGAGAGTCACAATATCATGAAATATATAGGTAAAAACACACGTACACGACAGAAATAAGAAAGATAAAGGTCGTTCCATGCACGAATAATCTGCAAATAATACCCACAGTACTCTCCTGGAAGGACTACACCGGAGGAGAAGTTTTCATATTCTCGAAGGATAATACAAGATCTCAAGGAAGGATATAGTAATCAGTCGAAGGTGACTGTAAAGTAAAAGGCTGTATCTGGTAAAGAGTAAGAATTGTGTAAGGAGCGAATGCGCTGCGGGATCTTGGGATTTCGCGTTGGGAAACTAGGAGGTTTTATTGTTTTATTTTTGGTGGTTTTGGGTTTTTTTTCTCTAGACACGTCCTAAGAGAGGAAAAGAGAGGAGGAGAAAAAGAAAGTAGAAGAAAGAGAAAGGAGAAATATAAAGAAAAGAGAAAGAGAAGAAAGAGAAGAGGGATAAAGAAAGAGAAAGAGATAAAAGAGAAGATAAGAGAAGAGAAAGAGAAGAAGAGAGGATAAGAAGAGAGAAGAAAGATAGGCAGAAGAAAGAGAAAAAGCTGAAGAGAAAGAGGAGAAAGAGTAGAAGAAGAGAAGAAGAAAGGGAGTAAAGATAAAGGAGAAGAAAGAGAAGAGAAGAAAGAGAAAATGAGAATAGAAAGAGAAGAGGAAGAAAGAGAAAGAGAAGAAGGAAGAGATCGATAAAGAGAAAGGAAGAAAGAGAAGAGAAGAAAGACAAGAGAAGAAGAAAGACGCACAGAGAAGAGAAGAAAGGGGAGGAAGAAAAGGAGAAAGAAAAAAGAATTAGAGGGAAAGAAAAAGAGAAGAAAGAAGAAGAAAGAAAGAAGAGAAGAAGAAGATGAGAAAGAAAGAGAGAGGGAGAGAAGGAGAAGTTATAGAAAATAGGGAAGAGAGAATGAAGAGAGAGAGAAGACAAGGGAGAGAGAAAGAGAGAGAAGAAAAAGAGAAGAGGAAGAAAAGAAAAAGAGGAAAGAGGAAGAAAGAAAAGAGGAAAGGAAAAGAGAAGAAAGGAGGAAAGATTGAAGAGAAAGGAAGAAAAAGAAGAAGAAGAGAGAAGATAAGAAAGAGAAAGAGAAGAAAGAGAAGGAAGAAGAGAAAGAGAAGAAAGAAAGGAAGAGAGAAAGTAAGAAAGAGAAAGAGAAAGAGAAAAAAGAAAGAGAAAAGA